TGTGCCTCATATATTTTAGCTTATGGGAGACCCATGGCAACATTGAATTAGCTGCTATAAGACTTGAGAAGGGACACTAAGAAAGGGGAAGTGGGAGGAAAACCTGGGTTGCTAAAACAGAAAGTCTGGAGGGCCCAAGAGAATATAGATATGAAGTAACATAGGTAACCAATGACCAATAGAAGGAGATAACCATTGACCAATGGAAAAAGGCAATACTGCCTAGAGGTGCAAAGAGGCCAATGAAAGACTCGAAACCAATTTCAAATGGAAAGATTATTTATACCCCTGCAGGCCTTTGTGTCTCAGACTCTCTCACCTTTTCTCCTTCTGGAGAGGGACCCACCTCCAACTTCCTTTGAAAGTGCTCTAAACTTTCTCTTTGTTCTTCTCACATAAAATCTCTCTTTGTCACCCTGAAACTTGTGTAGGTCACTTTTGCTCTCTATCCACACTGCCTGTGCTATTTCAGTTTTCTTTTCAGTTTCTATTCACTTTTGCTTTCTTACCACCATGCCTCAGGTGAACTAAGCACAACTGCTGATAAATAGGTAATCTCATTCTACATTAATCTCTTAGGGTGGTGGGGAGGGTAAGTTCTCCTCCTCTGACAAACTCAACATGAAATGATAGACCAGTTTCTACATCATCTAGATGGAGAATTAGTTTACAGAGATCTCAATGGACAAATTAGTATTTGGAGTATTTTAACCCAATCTTGACTCCACAGCCATACTATTAATCACTATACTGTAGCATGATTGTCCATGCCTTAATCACTTCACTCAATATTTATTAATTCCCCATCTCAGGGATTGAGTTAAATGCTAAGGAAAGAAGACAGGAAAAAATAGCCATCATTGTAATCAAGAAACATGTAACGGGGACAGAGACAGACATTAAACAGCTAAACACATAAATAACTATGTTGTTGAATTTGTAGTAAGTGTTTTTAAAGACTATATACAGAGGACAGAAGCTATGAGAGCATACAACAAGTGGCCTTCATCTAGATTGAGGGTTAGGGAAGTCCTCTCTGAGAAAGAGACATGTAGACAGAGACCTAAAAAATGAATACAAATTGCCCAGACAAAGAGGGAGGAATGCTTTTCAAGCAGAGAAAACATCCTGTGCAACTGCCCTGGAACTTTAAAGGTGCAATCCATAGACAGAGAAAACTAGGATGAGATGGTGAAGCAATGAGATAAGAAATGATCCTGCAGATCCAAGAAGGAATCATATCATACAGAGTCCGAGGAGTGTTGCTGCGGAGCAAGGCTTTATCCTTCCTGAAACAATAGGAAGACAGCAACAAGATTCAAGTGGGGAAACAATATGATCACTTACAAGGATTTGCTAGGATCAACTCACCAATCTCCCTCTGTGAATTCTCTTATCTACAAAATGCTTACAGATTTGAAAGAATTTTCAGTACTATTTTTAATCACTTTATCCTCTCTACCATTTAAGAGATGGTAGTTAAAAAACTATAGTGGATGCTCTGACTTGCCATTAAAATCCCACCTCCAGAATGAAACATCCCTCAGCTGCTGGGAGTGCTGTCTGCATCCAACCTCCTTCAGCAGTCAGCTCTCTTCAGGAACTTTCTTGGCTAAAGAAATCTGATATGCCCAATGGCAGCCTGAGTACATATTTGAGATATAAAGGTGCAGCCCTTCCACCCACTGGGGACATCTGTGAACCTCAAAGTACCTAAACTCACCAGATCAGCTGCGGCCTTTGTTATGTTGGCATCTGATATATCACACTGTGGTTTGGCCACTAACCATCCAGAGTTACATCAGACCCCACAATTTAAAGGCAAAGTCCCCAATAGTACCAAAGATGCCCTCACTTCAGAAATCATAAGTTCAGGGGTCTTCAGGCTACCAGTATTTCTGCCTAACTGTGGATTTCTCATAACCCCATTATATTTGATAATTTACTAGAATGACGTAACAAAACTCAGGAAAGCAAAGGATATAAATCAGAGCCTCTGCCTCCTCTTCCCATGGAATTACTCTATAGTGGATGCTCCCCCACATTGATGTCCACACAAGCCAGAACCTCCACTGAGCCTCAGTGTCTGGAGTTTTTTTAATTAGGATTTCATTACAAAGGTGAATCATTGGCTCCATGATTGAACTTATTTCTAGTC